AGGATAGGGGTATTTTCTGCCGACATGGTGGTTTGGATGGTATGTGGTTGCTAAATCAAAGGATTAGATCCAGGTGGTAGATATTTATTTCACATCACCTGAAGAATCAATTCCATTAACTCCAAGCGAAGCCAGTGCTTATTCTCCAAAGGGTGGCACAACTTATTCGCATCCCGGTTGAGCGCAAAAAATCGAACAATGGGCTAAATTCCCAAGATCAACAGCGTCATATTTGGGAAAGAATTCGAATGTTAACCTACCTGTTGTAAATATCGCAGCCGACGAAGCATATAAAATACGGAGTCTCAGCGGGTCTTGACATCCGTCATAACCGTCACTGATGCGAGATTCATCCAGGAAGTATACAAGTTAGAAAGATACCGTGGAAGATCCTCAGATTTCGAACCGGTGACTCGGTCAGTGTGCCCTCTTTCCAGAGCTGAAGGTCATCCAGTGTGATGGGCTCACATGGGGCAAAATGTACTATTATTCTGAGATAGTCGTCGAGTCACTGAAGGCACACAACGACCTCTGGCTCCCCGGATGGAGTCACCAGATCCGCCATTGTAATCACGGTACAGGACAGGGATGAATCTCTCATATGTCCATTGAGAATATATGGGCGTTGGACTCGGCCCCCCGCCATAATATCGAGAAAGTGGACACCTCTTTGGTCAAAAGGGATCCCTTCTTTTGAACTTGCGCCCGGGATTTGACCGGCTTCTTCAACTAAACCCATATATAATTTTCAGCTCAACCGGTTGCAGGCGCAAAGGTTGAAATTGAACTTTGAGATTTAAGTTACGACATGTGAGATGATATGTCGGTGTACGATATATATACGAGGAGAGATCACTGGGTGCAGGATGGAAGGACGAAAGGCGGGTTAGCACATGGCGTGCATCAGAGATCAATCAGGATCATCGAATGAGCTTCATTCCGTTCGATTCGGCCACCGCCATGGCTTGAGGAACGATCCTTTTACTTTGACTGTCCCAGTGACGGGCGTGGTAGTCAGTCGCTCATAGGAAATAGTGTTGTATATAATGGGATGCAGGAAATGAAGGGTACAGGCGGGGTAGCACATAGTGTGCATTGGGACACCCTTCGTTGTGAGGACATTTCTGGCCCTACGATGCTCGTTCGATTCGGGCCCCCGCCATAACCACTCACGGAATGAGCTTTTTTAGGTTCAGTAATAGTTAGATTCGGAGGTATCGCCCAGGCACATGAGCGAGGCAGGCGGCACAGGGAGCTCGGAGGGGTGTGTGTGAGTACAGTACTAACGAAATTGGAAGAGAGAAGGGTTAGCAATTCCCCGCACTCTCACGTCTCAAAGTTGCCCCATCGTCATCACCTTTTATTTGCTTACTTGCTTACGTACATAAAATTCACCCTCCAACTCCCCAATATGTTACCCATTCTAGAGTACTGCCGCGTAGCCTTTATGGCCAGGTACGGCTTAGTATAGAAATTCAGTTCAGTTCAGAATCTTTTTCCCAACCCTCCTCGGGGCTCCTAAGGCACATAACGACAAGTCTTTCCTTTCCGTACCTTAATCCCATCTGGCATATCAGTCTATATTCCGCCGTCACTCTTCATGACGCCTACCTTTGACGCCCCGCCGCTGCGCTGCACCACGGAGACGCTGTGTCCGCCGCACGTTTCAACCAATGTTGGTGTCCGCAAACACATTCCTCTTTCAGTCGTTCTTCACGAGGCAAGCACCGCAGATGTCCATTACCTGTGCTCACTGGCTTCAATATCACAGGATATTCCCCGCGAAGAGGCCGAGGGTAAGCTGCATGAGCAGCTGCCCTCCTTTTTCACAGCCCATGCGCTAATTCCCGCCTGGGGCCATCGGATGTGATCATTTCCCCTTTGTACCGATGCAGAAATCGCGCAGCACTCGCTGGATTCATTGCATGCGCCAATCCGTACGGCCCCGTTCTCCTCTATTTTCGGTGCTCACTCGCGTTACCTCCTATCAACTTTATCCCGCGTGGCAGGAACTAAGCACATGAAACAATTCATTCACTTCTCTGTTCCAATTTTCGTTAGTAGTATACTCGCACACACCCGTCCGAAGTCCGTGTGCCGCCTCGCTTCGGCGCCAGCTTAAGCAGGGCAGGAGCACCGAATCTAACTAGTGCTGAACCTAAAGAAGCGAACGAGCGGTTTTAAATCGGACGGAAGGTGGGCTAAAAGTCAAACGCCTGAAAAGGAATAGCATGTTCCCCAATGGCGGGGGCCCGAATCGAACGTGCATCTTTGGAAGAAATATTTTTCTTGGAAGTATATGATGTCCCAATGCACACCACGTGCCACCCCGCCGGTAATGGCCAGATTCTGCACCTCGTTTATATCACAGAAGTTTCAGTTATCTCACGGTAGGAGCCTTGCCTTGGAAATGTTGAAGAAGCAGGTTGGAAGGGCCGGTGATTGCCGTGAGGGATGGTGACGTCAGCCCCTTTGTCCTCTTACCTCGTCATCGCGACCCCGCTCGCTCTAGTGCAAACCGCCAGCTTTCTCGCCGCGGCGGTTCATATCCTCTCCTGTTCGGATCCACATCGATCGTCTCCCCGGCGCTCTCTCTCATGGAGTCCTTCCCGCGGGTCGATCCCGCTACGTCCCGTATTGATCAAAGCGGTTAATCAATGCGGCAACTTAGGACTCTTCCGCGTAAGATAGCTCCACGCTCATCTGCCAACGGCCGATCGCGCTCCAGTCCTACTCTTCGTTTTCGGCGGAGGCTTTCCTCCCGGTGCTTGTCCGCCGCGCTTGAAGGCGTCGCGCAGCCACTGCGTGGCCAGTGATTCTCCGATTGTGTCTGTTAGTGCACCAACGTTGACGCGTGGGTCCTTCAGTTTTTCTCCCCGCTCACTTGTGTAGCCATGCTGTGTCTGTCTAAGCTGAAATCCCCGATCCGCGGTCCTTGCGCACGTCGTGTCCCGCTTCACACCACCGCCTCCCCCGCCGCTCGATTCAACTACAACGGGGTCTGCGCTCGCGCTCATTGCCACCGTCACAACAGGCACGACACTTGCAATTCTTCGGAATATGTGCGATCGGACGCTCATCACCTGCTCACCCCCGCTGCTTGGATCGCCTGAGGCCCAGCTTTTGGTTGTCCGAATTCAGGTTTATTTGCCGCATTTTAGGGTTCTCTTCCTTGTTCCCTCCTGTATCTTTCGGATCTCCCCGGGGGTACGTGTCTTTTGTTCACCTGAACGACCCTTCATATGCATTCTCATTCGGTATACGTACTCCGAACTCATGGGTCGGTTTTTCGGGCATGCATATAACGGAGGACACGAGACAGAGAGGAGAGCGGGGTAGCACACGGTGTGCGCTGGGTGGGAACAGGCAAACCACTGCGCTGACTTGATTGCCCGGAGCCCCCGTTCGACTCGGGACCCCGCCTTGAGTTTGCGATAATGTATTTTTTTGTTCCGGTTTGCGTCGCTGCCACGGACCCGGAGGTGCACGTTGTATCCAACCGTGGGGATTACTGATTCAATTTCATTAGAACCCGGCAGGGGCCGTTATATCATACCCAGCTTGCGCTGCGCACACTCCGGTTGCCTTTTAATGGAGGTGGGGTAGTAAGAATGCGCGTTTGTATATATCTACAATACACAGGTTGAAGTCCAACGGCGAGAGTCGTACTTGTACAAGTGGCAAGAACGAGCTGTGCGGAGACGCCCCCACTTTGCCAGGGATATAATTGGCGCCATATCGCCGGGAAAAGTACTGGTAGGGACTCATTTCGCTCCAGCATACCACACGTCCGAACCTTCCGTGTACCTACAGTAGGTTGAAGCATGGTAGAGGTAGATACAACAGAATCCACATTTTGCTTGCCAAAGCAAAAGGAGAAGGACCAAAACCAAACACATCTCTATCCATGGCGAGGACCCGAATCGAACGAGCAATGTGGGGAGGAAAGGTATGGCCGACAAATTGTGTCCCAATGCACATGTGCTACCCCGCCTGCATTCAGTGGATTCAGTTACACAGTAAGTTGATAATTGAATGTGAGGAACGGCATAGAGAGTTGATAATGCATGCACGCCTCATGCCCTGCCAACACGAATAAAGAGGAATTGAGCAGCTGGTCGAGCAGCGGCATTCGTTGTGTCCAGGAAATACACGAACGCCCACAGACTAACACAGACTAAACCAGCCAGACAAAAAACGGCGCCTGAGGGGCAGTGGATGGCCGGGGCCCGACTCGAACGAGCACCGTCGGAGGGACGGCTATCTGTAGAGTATTGATACATACATCTCCGGTGCACACCGCGTGCTACCCCGCCTTCATCCCTGAAGCAACATCCTAGCTAAACAACTGTCCAATTCAGCGCAGTGAGAAAGAAGTGCGCCGGCGAGCCAAAAAAATGCATCAAATAAATTCACGGTATTTCTTCACGCCGCTATACCACCGCCATCGACGGTATATCGTTGGTGCTGCCCTGCCTCTGTGAGATCAACGGAGACTGAGCGGAAAGTCAAAGAAGGAAGGAGCTAAAGCATTGCCACATTTACTCCTCACTTATTCGAATCGACAGTCAGCTAATTGACTGCAATCTACCTTCAATACACGTAGACAGACTCCAAAGGCGACTGCGCCGCCCGACAGGGCCGTAGGTTGGAGGGAGGTAAAATATTTTTGGCGGCCCGAGTCGAACGGGCGCCGCCGGGTTTCATATCGACAGGTTGCAGCTCAAGTTCACCCGGGGCACAGTGTGCTACCCCGCCTTCTTCCGTTTACGGTGTCCACTCGTACATCTCACAACTTGAAAATGGTTGATCGAAGAGAAAGGAAATTCCCCGCTCGGACGTGAGCCTAGGCTGATAATAACTTTCGATACTTGAAACCACCTGATGAAATGCATACAATATGATCGGGGCGGAACGAATCTTGGGCTGTCTCTCAGCTGACCCACACGAATCGGTATAATGATGCCCTGGGAAAAAAGAAGCGTCCCCGACTGCTCCAGTGGCGAGAGCTTGAGTCGAACAAGCGCCCGGGATGTAAGTGTAATTACTACCCGGCGCACACCGTGTGCTACCTCGCCTTGTTCTTATCGTTCTCAACCTCGCCAGAATCTGCACTCGGGCGCACGATCCTTGCATTCGAGATACGAGAGGGTGAGCCACTGAAAATCCCGCCTTCTCGGGTGGCCTGCTGAATGGACGGGGCCGACCGGGCGCGAAAACATATGTAAGCAGCAATATACCGTCGACCCGAAGCGCGCGGAATGAAGGTTGACAACTCGTTGAAAAAGCAGGTGGGAAGAGCCGGTGATTGCCGGGAAGGATGTTACGTCAGCTCTCTTGCCTTCTTATCACGACGACTAACGAGCGGTCGATTCGTCGAGTACCCGGCCGCGGGCTTGAAATGCCTTCGACCAATGTCATTCGCTCCGTCACTGCCACCGTATGTGCACGTCGCTGTTGCTTGCCCGTTCCTCGTCCGCCCAGCGGTCTCGCCGTGTTGTCGTCATCCTTCCTCACTTCATATCGAATGAGTAGCGCTTCTCTCGACTGTCCTTATCGCTGCTGGTTACTAGTACTGTAAGCAGCCTGCTCGTTCCTCGTCCGCGCAGCTGTCTCGCTGTGGGCACTGGTCAGTGCCATGCCGCTGTCATCCCTACATATATACTCAATTCGTATCAATCGTCTCTGCTGCGCTGTCCTTTCCACTCGACTAGATGCCTCTGTGTCTCTGAATCCCGCTACCTCGTGATCTTTACGCCGGCGGAAGGGACAACGCCCACGGCCCTTTAGCCCCCATCCAAAGCTTCGTGCGCACCCTCCCCGCCACCATCCAGGTGTGCTCTCCAGCGCGTTCAGGCGCGTCGGTCGTGGCGCCGCTGGGCTACAGTCCACGGCCGAGTCGTCGCTTCCGCAGTGTTCACCCTCTCTTGTCACAGCAACGTCCCCGTACGTCTTGCCCGGCGCCTCGTGTCGTCACTCCGACTCCACGGTGCCGCTCCGGAGATACCCGCGCGCAACTACCTCAAGAGCAGGGAATTTTCAATTACACCAGTGTGGCGTGTTCCAAACTGAGTATCCCCTCAGTGGCAATGTTAATCCCCGATGCGCGTGCTAGTCTATCGCTATTTCCTTTGTGCGTATCCATTCTGGCTCCTCGATTCCGCACCGGGTCTCTTCCCTCCTCGACCCGCATCCCGCCACGCTGCATGTACGGCCGCTCCGCTGGTGGGCGTAGGTGCGCCTTGATTCCGTGTGGCTGACGCCGTGTGTCGCGCCACGAGTAGCTTCCTGCCTTCGCTCCCCGCCTCTCGTCCCTAGTCCTCCACCTGGTGCTCTCTGCAGCTCATGTTTATGCCAGCGCTCACACCCGCGTTACAACCCAGCGGCGCTTGCAATTCTTCGGTGGACGTGACCGCTTCGCGCCCGCCCCGGCCTTTTTTCTGGCCCAAATTCAAACCTACGTCCCTCATTTTGAGGCTGCGCTTATATCTTCGATCTTGGCGGGAGTGTGAGTCTTTAATTTATCTGGTGTTTGACCCACGTACTCCGACCAATTCTGCATGCACTCCTATCACGAAGGATGCGAGGTAGGGCAGCGGAAGGTGGGGTGCACTGGGTGCCAATACGTGACCACGTATGACGGCGTCACTCGCGTAGCGGTGGGCACCCGCGCCCCATCTGCTGGCCCAGAAGCCCGCTCGCGATACACAGGTGTGTAATTCAGCACTCGACCCCAACGCCGACTCGCACGACGCAAAGGTGGGCGCCCACGTCTCCCGATCCCGTTTAGTACCCTAATCCCATCTGGCACAGCAGTCTCTATTTCTGCCGTCAGTCTGCACGACGCGTACGTTTGAGACCATCCCGCTGAGCTGCACCGCGGAGACGCTGTGTCCGCTGCACGTTTCAACCAAGGTTGGTGTCCGTCAACACATTCCTCTTGCAGTCGTTCTTGACGAAGCACGCACTGCAGATTTTCTATTACCCGCGCTCACTGGCTTCAATATCACAAGACGTTCCCCGCGAAGAGGCCCAGGGTACGCGGCGTGAGCAGTTGCCCTCCTCTGTCACAGCCATGCGCTAATCCCCGCCGGGGGCAATCCAATATGGCCATTTTCTCTTTGTACCGATGCAGAAATCGCCCGATGCTCGCTCGCTGGATTGATTGGATATGCCAATCCGTACGCCTCGTTCTCCTCCTCTCTTTCTCAGTGCTCACTCGCGTTACCTGCTATGCACTTTATCCCGCGTGGTAGGAACCAAGTACACGAAACAATTCATTCCCTTCTCTGTTCCAATTTCGTTCGTAGGATGCTCGCACACAGCCCTCCAAGCTCCGTGTGCCGCATAGCGCCTGCTTCGCCTTGGCGCGAGCTTACCCTGGGCAGGAGCACCGAATCCAGCTAGCACTTAACCTTAAAATAATCCCAGGACGCCGGTGGGGGAGCTCGAATCGAACGAGCGTCGTCGGGCTGAAGACGTGCGCCGGCTCGACTGTATCTCAATGCACCCCATGTGTTATCCCGCCTGCGTCCTCTTCGTTTGGATCCTCCATAGGACATGTTCGAAATTGATGATTGAATGATAGAGGTCGGAGTTGAGAGTGGTGATGATGCGGTACACCCTGTGTAATTTGCTTCGTCATGGAAAATGACAACGTATCCGGGAAAAAAGGAAAGCCCACCATCTATGCAAGGCGGGGGCCCGAGTCGAACGGGCACGGTCGGAATGAGAGCACATTATCTTGCTCATGCATTGGTCTTCGATGCACACCGCATGCTACCCCGCCTGCAATCCCCCAAAAATATATTTCCTGCTGAGATGTGAGACTCCTTTTGCAATTAATCGCAGGCTCTCATGGACTGGCAATGAAATCGGGAATGGGGAGCCTCGCCATGCCTAAGCCGGGCAGCCAGAGGCTTCTGTCCTGGGGGCAACTCTGCACGAGAAGTTCGTCTCTTGAAAGCCGATTTCAGCCACCAAATCTGATAGATATTTCGGTGCACAGCAGTGACATCACGTACAACCCTAGACTCGAACCAGTACCTCTTGCATGAGATCAAAGACAGTCGTTTGATCACTGCGCCGGAGGGACTGGAAGATAATCACCGTTGACATATAGACACGGAGATTGCCGAAATCTTTAACGGACTTCGCCAAAATTCGTCGTAGGTCCAAAACATAATATTTTCTTTTCGCAAATCTGAGGAGATACATTCGTAGCGAGGTTAATTCTAAGACTCGTGATGTTTTTCGTTTCTAGATTGCTCAAGAAACACTCGCGCTATGAATTAATTTGTGGGCGCCAAGACGCGCCAAGACAACTCCTTGATGGCACGTGTCTCCCTCGCGCGAGTGGGTGGAGAGTAAATTCGCTGTAGGAACATCTATCCGACAGATATTGAAGAAATAAAAACATCACGAGTCTTATAATTTCACTCGCTACAGATCTGTCTACTCAGATTTGCGGAAGGAAACTATTATGTTTTGAAGCTACGACGAAATTTGGCGAAGTCCGTTAAAGATTTCAGCAATCTCCGTGTCTATATGTCAACGGTGATTATCTTCCAGTCGTTATTCAGCTACTCTATTGATCGACTGTCATCAATCTGCGAATAGCGACTGGTTCGAGTCTAGTACAACCCCGGTTGTACTCCCAATGTTCTGCGAAAGACATACCTTCGATCGCGGAGCCGACTACGCATCGTGCGCATATATCGATCTTATGGTCCTTCGAGGTGCCAGTGGAAGTGTAGGTAAGCCAGCAAAACAAAAAGATGAAATAAAGCGCTCCCATTGGCGCAGTGGTGGGGGCCCGAGTCGAACTGGCGCCTCCGGGTGGGTGCCCTCCATCTTATCCCATTTGCACCCGACGCACTGTGCTAGCCCGCCTTGCTCTGTGCACGGCGTCCACCTATACATTCCACAAATGATTGATGCTAACAGGGAGAGGGAATTAATCGCTCCCTCAGACGTGATAAGCCTGCAACGACATGAGACACATAGATAAATATACGGTCGAAACGCGTTGGCCTTCAGCCCACTTACAGGAACAACTAGAATGAAGCCCTGGAAAAGATAAGCGTTCCTGCCTGTGAAGCATTAAAAAGAAGGGTTCGTGGCTGTCCCCGCGGCTCGAGCTTGAGTCGAACAAGCGCCGTCGGAAATTAGCCAAGCCTCGTGTGGGCCCTTTCTGTTTTCCTCCGGTGCATACCGTGTGCTCTCCTGTCTTGTCCTCCTCAATTTGAACCCCGTGAGATGGTGGAATTTGGAACAAGTCTGAGTTGGGAGGAGCTACAGAGGCCGAGGAGGCAATACTGCCAAATGGTGAAGCTCAAGAGCGAGCGGCTGGAAACGACTTTAGGGGTTTTCCTGCCAAACGCGACGGAAAGCTCGCATCCGTACGGCGGGAATCTGAGTCATACGAAAATTGAGAAAGTACGTTGAATTGTGAACGAAGCAGGTCGGTGATTGCCGGATGGGAGGGTGACGTCAGCCCTCTTGTCTTCTTACTCCGATATACTATCGATCACCTACCTCTGCAAAAATATTTTGATGGAGGTCGTTCTCAAGCATGTGGACTCGGCTTCCTTTAATATTTTGGCAGAGCTCAAGCTAACAATGTAAATAATGTCCTCAAATATTTCTAGCTTTTATTGGAACGTGGGGATGGAGGTATGGATGTGCCGATGACTTGATACTTTTCACGTACCTTTGCAAAAAAATTTGGCGGGCGATCGCTATCAACGAATGCGATCAAAAGCAAGTCGAAATCGGGCTTTTCATTTTCTCGCGGGCCCAAATGTTGGAGGGATGGGCTACAAACTTGGAGGCATCTTTCAGGATACTGTCTTCGTACCCTCCTTTTATTTCGAGCTAATGGGACTTAAATTGGAGTCGTCGGGGCAGATTTTTGCAAAGGTGGGCTGTTTTGCAAAGGTGGGTGATCGATAGTACGTCCGATGCTCTGGTGATACCATTCGCCTTGTCAGTGTAGCCTCGCGATCGTCAGCGCAGTTTGCGGAGCTCGGAGTCTCTACTCGTTCTGCTGCCTCAAGTGCAAGTCAAGCCCATACTC